CGCCATATAATGGATTGAAAAAAAATTTGGCCCAAGACTTATTTGCCGACCCCTGGTGTAGAGAGACTGCCGCAGCTGTTGCGTGAAGCCTAATTGTAGCAAAATGGCTATATATAGTAATAATAGTAATAATAGTAATAATAATGACAAACAATGCCTGATATTTTCACATTCAGCCCCAGCTATGTTAGGCCTATAGTTTGCACACTGCTTCCACCACAGTAGTGTAAGGTAGAAATGACGGGCCCTGCGCAGGCTGTTATGATGGCCCTTGGGCTACACAGTTACGAAGCACTCGCTCACACACACACACACACACACACACACACACACACACACACACACACACACACACACACACACACCCCGCATTCATGTCTAGAAGGGAATCCTATATTGGCAAATTTGTGTGCCTTGTTTCCTGTTTTGCACGGTTTAACAACTGATAAGATAAGATGCAGTAAATACCTAATTTCAAGCTCCTTGAATTGATTTCTTTCCAGATTTACATATTAAATCCGACAGTTATCTAATTTTATTAAAGGCGAGTATTTAGAAATGAAAAATAACTGATAAGAGTATCAGTATAAAGTATAAAGAACTGAACCAAGAAGAAGGAGCATGGCCAGTGCTGTCATTGTCAAAATCCGGAAACATCACTACAAACAGCTGAGCAGGAGGTGTCCACTGTGGTGCTGAAATGATGCAGACTTTTACGGGCAATTTCAGCACAATGACCTCCTGATCATGGCAAGAACATCATGTCCTGAAAACAGACCAGCCACGGCGCACACACAGTTTAATACCCACACACTCATCCATACCAACAGGTGCCCAGCGGCAACCTGAACCCGAAATAATAAGTCTTTTAAACAGCGGCACAGCAGCCACACCAAATCCACTGAAAAGGCACTTGGAAAGTTACTCACCTATCTGAATGGCATCCGACAAGCCTTGCATTGAGCAAAATCTTTGACAATGTCTTCTGTTATCCAAAACAATCTTATTTGGGCGCTTTGTGGCCCTGTCCTCCTGTTCTTTTCTCTCCTGTCTCTTCTTGAAACTACTTTTATGTTTGAATAGCATGGCTTCTAGCTTGCACGTGAACTCTGCTAATCTACTTGTCAGATTTAATGTTTTACCCGGTTTCTGGAGTCTTGTTGTCTTGTCACATGATCAAAACTTCAGAAACTTAAGATTGGGCAGCCATATACACATTACCCAGCAATCACCTCTGCATATGAGGGCTATGTGACACGGATACCAAAGTAAATAAGACTAAATTCATTCTGTGGAATTTATTTTTTTTATACTTCACTGTACGAGCTAGGTGTCTACTGTTGATTGATGAGATCTGATGCATTTTTTACCACGTAACTGACAAAGTCCAGCTCGTAACTCGGTCCAGCCACAGGCCCCCAGTACAGTACGGGCTCCAGTGCAGCTGCACTGTCTAAACCTACTAGTGTTGTGTCGTTCAAAGAACGTTTCGTTCATTAGACCTAATCGTGTGTATGACTCGGGAGGAACGGGTTGTCTCAGTGAGTAATTCGTTCATTTTCACGCATGCGTGAAGGATCTTGGACTCTTACGTTCACTCGTCACACGGCAGCTGCATGGGCTCCGTCAGCACAGGAAACAGAATTGATTAGTTCACGACTCTCAACTGTGGGTCTGTTTGAGTTGTTCATTTGTCACGTGACAGCTCCTACTGTGGAGCAGGAATGAACGACTCGTTCAGCGCTCACATGGGTTCTCCTCAGTCTTTCGTTCAGGCAGGCTGAGTGACTTCCAGCGCCGGAGAGTGAGAGGCAGGTCGGCTGTCAGGTAACAGTCACTGGACTGACATTATATAGCTATTTTGTTAATTATGTTACATTTAATAAAGCATAACGTTATTACAGTGCAGTGATGTTGTGCTAAGTTATAGTTTTAACACAGCCGCACTGCAACTTTAGTCCTGCTAGTGTTTAACATTACAGCTAACAGCTGACGAGTTGTTGTGGGTCCGCTCCACTTCAGAACCCTGACAGGGTTCTACCTGGAGCTGAATTACCACAGAGGTCGTCTCCTCTCCAAAACAAACAGACCTGGTCATTAAAACATTAAAACACAGCCACGTAGCGTTTAGCCCTGTAAACTGCTAACAGCTGATCCGGTCCGCCCGAGAACGCAACTTAACTTTTCCTTTTTATTTACCAACAAAGCCGTGCTGTTGTGAACAACCTGCAGTGTTTGAGAGCGATGTGCTCATGTGTGTTTCTCTGTCTGCAGAATCCGGACCTGATGTGGTCCACTCTGCGTCCAGACCTGCCAAACTGCTGCGTTTATATAGTGTTTTTATTTCTTTGTTCCTCTCTCTTTGCTGGAGTTCTTTAAGAACTTGGTGGCTTGATCCAGATTATTATTAAATTGGTTGAATTTTAATAAGAGTGTGTTTATTCATATAGTGTATCAAGCTTATTACTTCAATATATTTAGTCTGAGTAGTGGTGATTGCATATAGACAACATATTTCTGTGGTTTTTACATGGTTTGAATTTGGTTGTGGGCCCAGGGGGGTGTATATAATGATGATATACAGTAATCAAGAGGTGAATTTGTGCATTATACTTTGTCAATTAAAGCAAGCCAGGCAGCCTTCCGTGTTTGAGAACAGCGCTGTTTTTTAATCGCTCACTAGAGGGCTGCAGCGCCACAATAACAGCCTAGTTCAAATGAACGAAATGACTCAAAAAAAGATTAGTTCATTTTATTGAGATAACGAGATTTGAAGATTCGAGTCTGTCAAAAGAGTTGAACTTGCCATCACTAAAACCTACACCCCTGTTCCATCAATTATAAAAACAAGTTAATCATAATAGTGCCGGGTGCCGTTTTACAATGACACTTGTTTGGTTTTATAAATCCAGCGCACCCCTTTCCTTTACAGCTGAGACTTTCATCCCTCCTTAAAAGCCCAAACTCCCTCAGATGTTTAATTCAGCTCGACATGTCTGGGGATCATAACTGCTATAACTTCCTATTCAACATTAATTCTATGGCATTTTACACTATAAGGCTAAAGGACAAACGGGTATAGTAGAGTACAACTCGAGTAGTTCACCTATTACCTGCCCTGCTCCCCTCCCTGTACACACACACACACACACAGCCACACACAGAGCCTCCTCAGTGGCTGCTGTCGTCCTCTTGCACTCTAGATGCTGCTTAAAGTTAATAATTTAGGATTATTGTTTCTTATTTCATGGGCTATTTGGGATTTTGGAGTAATGCATATATAGTAGTTTTTAAAAAAGAAGTTACATTTTAAAAGTTCAATAGATTAATGTTTCCTAAGCGAATGAGTTATCCTCTTATTGTGATCTCAATATTGGCCAAAATAATTAGCAGCCCAACACTTAATTTAATTCATGACATTATAGAGCATTTGTTATGTGAAACTGCGCCTCTGCCTTCTTTCTGTACAGGCTAATGCTTCATTCAATACATTTTTTTAACTAAAAAACTTAAGAGCGCATTATAACTTTTTATGATTTAAACTCAAAGACTTTAAGACTCGACTTTGAGTCGGACTTGCCTGTCATGATCGGTCTGGACTTGGGACTTCAGTGCTAAGACTTGTGACTTGTAAAATGATGACTTGGTCCCACCTCTGGTAGTAGGCCAAGTCCATGGTGGAAAACACTGAAGCATCTTTGAGCTCCCTGAAAAGGACTTTAGAGGTAGAGCAGGTCGCCCACTAATCAGACAATTGGCAGTTTGATCCCGGCTCCTCCAGTGTGCATGTCGAAATGTTTTTTTGGCAAGATCCTGAAACCCAAACTGCTCCTAATGGCTGTGACATCTGTGTGTGTGTGTGAGTATGATTAGCTTCTTTCAACTGATGAGCTGCATCAAGCAGTTGACTGAGATGAGATGCAGGTGTGTGGAAAACCTGAGCGCAGGAGCACAGACAGACAAGCAACATGAGGGTGGGTAAAACAACACAGAACATGAGGGAGACACAGGGAAGGCCCCGCTGACTATGACATGGGTTAATGTGACATGTAATGTAAAGCGCTTTTAGTGGTCGAAAGACATTTTAAACATCCCATCCATTCATTTGCATGCAAAACAAATCCTGGAAAACCTGGAATATTTTGTAAAGTTTGAAAGTTATCAAAATGATCTAGTATCTACTTAAATAGAAGCAATAATGTCCTAATTGAGCTGAATATTTCAATTTAATCTTGGAATGATGTTTCTACATTGACAAATGTGGAAAGCGTAAGGTTACAAAAAACTGGTGGGAGAATAATAATAAAGATGTTTTTGTAGAACATCACTGCACATAGAGAAGCTCAGCGGTTAGCACTGTCGCCTCGCAGCAAGAAAGTCCAGCATCCAGATTTCACACCAGTACAGTATAAGTATACAGTATAAAGCTCAAAATTAGTATAAATTAAAATAATTAAAAGGAAAAGCAACAAATCTTCACATTTGTGAAGGGGGAACCATGAAACGTTTTTACATGAAAAATGTCTTAAACCATAGTTGCCAGTTCATTTCACTGTAAATCTAATAATCGGGTCAGCTGTACTTGTATAAACTGTTGTATAAAATAAAACGTATTTTATTAAGTCTTCATATGTTTTGTGTGTAAAAATCTTACTTTGTCAATTAAGTAGTAACTAAAGCTGCCAGATACATGTGGAAAAGTATAAAGTCTGATCTCTCCCTCTGAGATGTTGTGGAGCAGAAGTAGAAAGTGGCATGAAAAGAAAATACAATAGGCAAGTAGGCCCACTTCATATTTATAATTAAGTACAGTTCTTGAGTAAATATTCTAATTGCTGTCCCCCACTGCCCGCCACCCAGATAAAATCATCATTATGCTTCGGTAGGAGTCCTGTTCAGGCAGGCCACAGCAGCACTGTAACAGAACAGGGCGGGTAGAGGTTTAAAAAGTTTATTAGAGGGTGGAGACAGCGTGTTTGGAAGGAAATTGTTTGGTTTTAGGAAAGCAACTAGACTAATTACATGCCTTTAAAAGAGGCGGACAGAAGGAGGCAGTAATGCAACTTTAAGGATGCAAACTGCCCTAAAACCTCGTCGAAGAAGCAGCAGCAGCAGCAGCCAGCTGTTGCTCGTTCAGAGCAGAGATGTCGGCGTTGCTTTGCTTCGTGGCAGGAGCGTTTTTCCTGTACGTGATAGTGTACTACAGTGTGTTCAGAGGAGCGAGCTGCTCGAGCTCTGTAACTCTGAAGGGGAAGACGGTCATCGTTACAGGTAACGAGTCTCCTGTCAGCTCCTGCTAACGTGCAGCCCAAGGGAGTAACGTCAAGCCTCTTAATCGCATCCACGTTTCCCTCACTTGCGTCTTTTCCTTGCGTCTTAGTCCCGCCCACCGGGGATGCATGGAGAGACGCAAGGAAACCAAGCAAGGAGGGAAGGAACGAGGAAATATGTTTTTAGAGACATGAGATGTTCTTTCCTCTGATGTGTCACGTCTAGCGACGTCCGTTTCTGATGACGGCGCAGCTGGGGCGAGTTCAATCTCAAAACGTTTTGCACCGGTTTGCAACATTTTCTGATCGAACATGTTTCCTTGGAACGTTGCGCAACGTTCTGCAACGGGCTTAGAGGTATGTGTTCTCCCGTTTGGTAGGCGTGTCTCCGGTGTTACCCAATCAGCTGCAACAAGTTTGTAAACACAACAGTGTTAGAAAGATTCAGTGCGCTTGCATACACAGCAGGGTGTTCAGGGAACCACCGTTTCCGTTGAAAAAACCGTTTTGCTACGTTTTGTCTGTGCTGAACTCAGCCCTGATCACAGCTGTCAGTCGGCTCTACTAGCTGAGACTCTTGATGGAGTTTGTGTCTGCACACATGTGCACACATGTGCACTGTGTTGGTGTTCATAAAGTCTCACAGTTATCAGTGCAGAGCAGCAGGATTCTCTGTTACCTGTTTAACAAACACCGGCACAAGAATAATTATAGGTTACTGTATGTCCTGCTCAGAGGCGTAGGATCATTTCTACTGGCACAATGCTGATATTATCTGCATTTACATTTATTGATTCTGATTGAATGTGTTAATAAATAACCCAGAATATGATCATGGTGTCCTTGGATTCATTAGGCTAAAAGAGAAATTTAAATGATGTAACTCATGTCAAAGTCGACGCTCAGTTTTAGGCTTTCCGTTTATTTCCTCTTCTGATATCCTTTAACACTACTACATAAATTTTGTTTGTTAGTCACATCACTCATCACTGATCGATCACAGCCTTCCATCATATCAGTCCACCGACTTTTTTTCCCATTCATACTTTAATCAGCTTATTTTACTCCCGAGCCCCGACTGCTTTTGTCAGATGCAGTAGGTGAGATGGCTGAACGTACAGGCTTTAATTTCCTTTGCTTGCTTCATTAGAAACGTATCCGACTCCTAACTTGTTTATTACTATGTTAATTGTCGTCTATTTGGACTAAACACAGGAATGAGCAGCTTCACATGTGACTGAACAGAAATGACGATAAATGATGTAAAACGTGTTTCTTGCTGACAGACTCTCTCACTCTCTTTGACTTTAATTGTCTCCATTATAAAAGTTGATGGGAGAAGTAAAAGAAAAAAAAATCTTACTAATGAATGAAGAAAGTTGTGTGGGGCTTTTGTTGTTCAGACCTCCAATGAACACACATTTTAACTAATATAGTTAAAAACAGAATGAAGCACCAGTAACGTTTGTCACTGGACAGTAGAAAGTTTTCCAGTTAAACTGTGTGATCAAAACATTAGTGTGGAAAGAAGAGAGGAGAGGAGAAGAACAGAAATATAGCAATGTGCAATAGAAAGATGTATGATGACCTTTCCTCCTGATATAATGTAATAAAAGTATTAAGCTAATTTAATGAATTTAATCACTCCAATCACATTACATTGAACTCATATGAAATGTAACATATCATATAAACATCAACTATTAAGTTTAAAAACAAAAGCCAAGAGTGGCTCAGACTAAACTGCACCAAAAGGAATTCATTATCCTGTCAGCAAAAATATTTTAGTCTATCTAGGCTTTTTGTACAGAAACATCTATATTTAATGCAGCATATCTGAAAAAAAGTAGGCCTATACAGGTTTGCTGAGTTTTAATCTCTTTATATATTTCGATATTCTAAAGCCTAGAGATGTTTTTAAAGGGATAGTAAGTGATTGTAATCCACTTTACTTTTTGTTAAACTCAGCAAATATTTCCTCACTGTTTGCCAGCCCTCCATTTAGTTTGTGCTCTTAAAAAAAAACACAGCCCTGGCTCTGTGGAACACAGAGAAAGTGGTTGCCACACAACAAGCTTGCCACACAACATTGTACCTGCCAATCAGCAATGGGTGGTGTTAGAACTTGTGCACAGGAGTGATGGGGGGAGGGTGGCAGCGAGAGAGAGTTCTATACACCAGCACATTGTAACGTGCTGCACTCCAGGCAAGACACAAGAAGGAGATATGGCAGAGAAACAGCCAAAGAGGAAAGCGTCAGAGAAGAAAGTTCTTTGACCAGGTAAGGGCAAAGGCATGTCAAATCTGGAGAAACCTCAGAGATTTGAAATTTGGGTGGCGGAGCTTCTGAGGGAGCACTGAGTGAGGGGTGTATTTGTTTGGCATTTGAGTTTAAATATCAACACTCCTGCAGAATCACTTACTGTCCCTTTAAGTGTGTATTATTAAATTAAACCTTGAGTTCAGCACATCTCCTTGTTGCCAGCTGTTTGTTGAGTTTGAATGTGAATCTTCATAGGAAGCAATACCGGCATTGGCAAGGCCACAGCTCTACTTCTGGCAAAGAGAGGAGCCAGGCTGATCCTGGCCTGCCGCAACAAGGAGAAAGCTGAGGCTGCTGCTTTTGACATCCGCAGAGTAAGTACTCTGATAGTTACAGAGGCTATCACAAAGGAGACACACTTTGTTGTACTGTAATCCATGAAGAGCACTGAGAGTTCCAAATCAGATGTTTGTAGATCACCTAAAACTGTGACTATAAATCATATAGTCCACATATACTAAAACATCTGGACTTTATTTAGCCTACTCTCATTGATATAAATGGTGCAAAATAGACATACCTCATTATAACCCAATGCAGTTGAAGAGCACTATAAACTGCAGCCTCCACAGTTGAATCAACAACCCCCTAAAACATTTTCAACAAAACTCAAGATTATTACCATCCTTTTTAGCTTGGTGTACCAAATAAAAACAAAAAAAAAAATGGCAACTGAGTGTAGTGTTCCCATAAATTTCACAGAAAGTGAAAAAACATACCAGAACCACAGCACATGTGTAATAATGTGGAAGTAAGCTGTTGTGGTGATCAGAATGTGCAGATGTTTTTCTAATCACTGACCACAGTAACTGTGAAATGACCTGAGCCTTCAGCAGACTGCATTTTTTTCTACACTGACGAGACCACACAGGAAACATTACTTTCCATATTTTTACAGTGGATTTTCAATGCGTATAACAGCCAGACTTACTCTGCATGCATGTCCTTCAGGAGAGCGGGAACAATCAGGTGGTGGTCATGCAGTTGGATCTGGCGAGTTTCAAGTCTGTTCACAGCTTTGCTGAAACCTTCCTGAAGACTGAGCCTAGACTGGACATCCTCATCAACAATGCAGGTCAGGATATTAAAATATGGTGGAATTTCCATGATAAATTATTTGTTGAGTTTTTGTTTTTTTTGACCTAAAAAGAATATGAAAAAGTTCAGTTAAAGGAAACTCTAATCAGTTACATCTGACTTCACCACCACAGTTCTGTAATACACAAAGGGACTGATCCAGTTTGTGTTTCAGGTCTTATGGGTCCAGGACATACTGAGGATGGTTTCGGCATGGTGTTTGGGGTAAACCACCTGGGCCACTTCCTGCTTACCAACCTTCTCCTGGAGCGACTGCAGCAGTGCGGTCCCAGTAGAGTGGTCACTGTGGCTGCACTTCTGCACCGATTTGGCAACATCGATTTCTCTCTGCTGGCTTCCAAGAAGGATCTAGTGTCTGGTCAGTCTGCCTGGCACAACTTTCAAGCCTACTGCAACAGCAAGCTGTGTAATGTGCTCTTCACCAGGGAGCTGGCCAACAGGCTGGAGGGCACCAGCGTCACCTGCTACTGCCTCCACCCAGGTCAGTGCTCACTGCACATTTTATATAGGAATTATGTGTGATGTCCCATTACCCTTTTTGATGGTCAAGACCAAGCTGGAAAGTTAGTAGATCAACTAATCTAAGTTGTGACCATAAGGCTTATAGTCCAGATATATTATATAAACTGGACCTTATTTAGCCTACCATCATTGCTAGAAATGGGGCAGACAAAATAATAGAAACACTCTTCTCAAATCCTTCTTATAACCCAATGCAGTTCAACAGCAGCACAAAGTCTAGCCTCCAGGCCTTCTGTCATTCAGACGTAGGTCTCTGTTATGTAAATTTGCCATTACGGCTGTATTGAAACATGACATGACACATAAGGAAAGAGACCCAGTGCCTGTGTGATATTGGTAGCTGTTGCATGAGAGGAAGCAGCGTCACTGCTGAGTTGGAAAGGAAGAGCGGTGTTTTCTGTTCTCACAGACTGCATCACTGAACTTCTGTTAAAGCCGTAACTACTGACCATCAGAAGCAGGAGGGATGCCTACCCCCTTATATCACTCATCAATTTAGTTTATTTAATATTTTTTTTGTAGAACATTTAATTTTATTCTACTGCCTATTTTATACGGTCTGAGAGTGAACAGATAAGCTTCAGCTTAAAAAACCTTACAGTGTCCCTACCATACTAATGCCAGCATGTCACTGTGAGCATATATTTTTGTATTTGTCCATCTTACAAAGTGTGCCACATGTTTTCATTTCCTCACTACAGCTGTACCATACACTCCGCTCTTAAACAGGAATACAATGATGTTTTTTACATTAATCCCACCCTTTATATTTTAAACGTGTGTGTGTGTGTGTGTGTGTGTGTGTGTGGTTATTCCTCTGCGTATTTAACATGCTGTCTTTACTTTTCACTTCACTACAATTCAGCCGTGTTGAAAATCTTGGCCGTGTTACAGGTCGACCTAGTAAGATTGCTGTCAGGACTTTTACATAAAAGTAACCAGGGATCTGTTTCAGACAGGCCAGACAGACATTGATGCGGATTGGAAAGGGGCTATACTTTGCTTCCTAAACTGTCTCTGTGATGTTCCTGATTTTTTTTCACTATACACTGTGTATTTGTGATATTAATGCCCCACAACAAAATCAACATAATACAAACAAAAAACACATTTAGAATTGTTGTTAAGCGTGTAGTATTCAAGTGGGACACAACTGAACATCTGGCATTATCACCAAGTACCAGTTCTTCACTGTAGCACCAACAGCTCTTTAATGCAAATCTCATTGTAGTGTTAGGGTTAGCTATTAGCCCTAATATCTAGTCATAGGCTCCTGCAGATATCAGTGCATTTATTTCTCACAGTGGTTTGGAGTAAGGTCTGTGGTTAATGTAAGCTGTAAGCACAGTGTTACATATTATTCTTTCTCACGGAGGATTTTCAATCCGTTGCAATCTTGAAGCTCCAGCAGTAGTTGTTGGCACTTGTTGTTAGATCCACTATGGCTGCCACTGGATTATATTCTCTCAGAACCGTATCTGAGTGCAGGACTTGCAGATGAAAGTACAGACTACCTGTAAGCCAGGCTGTGTTTCACAGTAAACATGGAGCACTTCAGCTAGACTTCACACGTGTTGGGATCATTTCTTCCAGGAGTCATCTACACAGAACTGTGTCGCAGTGTGAGCTTGTGGCAGCAGCTCCTCATGATGCCCTTTGCCAAGCTCTTCTTCCTAGACCCTGAGGGGGGGTCCCAGACTACCCTGTACTGTGCCCTGCAAGAGGGCATCGAGCCTTTTAGCGGACGCTACTTCTCTAACTGTGCACTGCAAGAAGTGGGAGCCAAGGGACGAGATGATGCCCTGGCAAGGAAGCTGTGGGAAGTGAGTGAGAGGTTAACCAGTTTCCCATGAGAGACTGAATCTCAATCCAGAAGCTCCAACCTCAAGAGACCTCCAGTGTTGATGTCTTATTGGTTGTCTAGATGTATGATGCAGTGGGTCTTTTGAATAATGACAGAGCATAAAGCAGTGCAATGTTTTACTATTTCTAATCTGCATAACCTTTTACTTGCTGCTGTTCATCAAATAGCAGGTTTCCAGAAAGATATCTTGATCATTATTATTATTATTAGTTTAAATCACTTTTTTTTTTTTTTTTTTACTACATTGCATCTGTATCTGGACATTTGTATCATTATTGACATGTTTGATATACCTTATTAGTTGGTGGTCTTTCATTGTGAGTAGCCAAACAAGGTGAAATGTTACTCTGGCCAGTATAAAGAAGAAAACTGCTTTGGATAAATTCTCAATCAGACCAGAATGTGGCACATCAGATTTCATCTCTGGTGAGATGGTGCTTGCAGCTTGATGACAGTGGCTACCTGCTCTCTTCGGACTGGACAATACGTTCAAGGGAATGCACTATTTTTGTGCCAACCACTTGTGCCTCAAAACATTCTGCAAACCAGTAGTAGCGGAGCAGTTTACCAACAAGTGAATACTTATAAGACTAGATGCAACACAGCTAATATGATAGCTGATGGCTCTAGTTTTGGCTCTCGGGATCTGTGTTCCTTCAAAGTAAGCCTGCTGAAACAGTTTGAAACATACTAATTCACATCTACACAACATCAACGCAGATTTTTCATCTGCAATAGTTAAAACTGGGCCCTGAATGAGTTAGTAATTAAATGCTGACAATGGTGGGATTTGTGAAAATGAAATCTGGTGCGGTATCTATCTGTATCAAGTATTTTAAAAGTCAAGACCACATTTTCTCTGTTTTTTGATTTCCTGTGGTTGGAGACGCTCTGCACACTGTGCTGTGGGGAAAGGTTGATGTTTGTTCACTCCTGAGTCAGTACAAACTGAGTTATGATGGAACAGGGAACAAATTACAGTGCAGCTTATACTGCCCTATGATCCGCTCCATTACTTCGTCTTTCTGTCTATTTGAACATGTTCGGCAACTTTCCACAACAAGATGAGGACAGATGTGCTTGTACCAGATTTTGTCTATACTTATCATCAGTCCCGTTGGCTGTCATTCAAAAATGTCCTAGCGAAATATCAGATCACTCAAATGTAACCCAATCAGAATGACTTAGAAAACTATATGGGAAAACTATTACTATTAATTGCAACATTTGAATAAAAGACTTAATGCAAAGTTGCTGAGGTTTAAAGCAGTTATTACATCATTATGGACTATTTTCTGTCAGGGAGGCGTGGGTCACATGATGTTACATATTGTTAGCAGTGGGGTGAGCCACCCGGTGGAAGTACTGGGAAGTCAGGAGATGGACTTTAAAAGTTCATTCATCCAGTCTGAAAGGGTTGATGTCTGGCTGAGCTGGGTTAAACTAAAAAATCTTACATTTAAGTGACTCCCATCAATAGTAACTGGTGTTTGGTGTTATATTACTTATTTTTTTACTTATTATTTGTGTATCAGCTGGGTACCTGCAGCTGCTGACTGTTGGTTATGGGAAGGTACAAGGTTGTTTATTTGTCGTCATACAGCACAAGGCTGCATAATGATATGAAATTTGTAGTCCCTTCATGCTACACACACACATAACATATAATTAATTGTACATTAAATATGGTAACAAATAATATATACAGTTATTTATGTACATACAGGTATACACCAAGAACATTCCGCAGTGCGTTTTTCTGAATTTGGGGTGAATGTAAACAGCAGCAACAAGATGATAATATGAAAAGTTTCATCTTCACAATAAACATGCTGACATTTGCAAAACTGAGTCCATCTTGACTGCGTTTGAGCACCAAGCATCATCGATGTAAAACAGAGTCCACCTCCTCTCATCTCGCAGACGATAGAATAGCAGCTATTAATGACTACTTTGTCAAATAACCACCTTTTTGTGTTTTTCATTGTTTATTTTTTTATTCAAGACCTGTTGTTTCCCATTCAGGGTGAGGGCTCTGGGTTGAGATTGGCTGTTCTGTGCTTTTTTTGTGGGTGTATTTTGTTGATTAAGTTGCTTTCACTTTGCAACAAAATAGACAAACATATAATATATACAGTTATTTATGTACATACAGGTATACACCATAGGTAATAACAGAGAAGGAAGTCATAATATTTGTTTTGCTTGTTGCTGTTTAGTTCCATTGCCATTTATTGTGATTTGTGGATATAATGTGGGGGTACTATGATATTTCAGATGCCATTCATGTTCAAATGCCAACTAAGAGGTGATGGCTGGCCGAGACCAAGACACGTGAAAACACCCATGAGAAGGTCAATTTACCATCATCATCGTTTGTCTCCTAAAACAGTCAAATGAAACCATTTGAACTGAACTGAATTTGTACTGAAGGTTGTCTCTGTCCAGTGTGTCCACAGGGGGGCAGTAGCGTAGCACAACTCTTAACAACAGAAGCCGCAGCCTCATGCTGTTCCTTGGCCGTTGTTGCTTGGAGCAAGGTTGTTGAGGACCGTAACCCAGCAGACCTATGGATTCTGTTCATTATGAGCACTAATTATTAACACAGGTAGGCATGAAAGCCAGGTCAGTTGTGTGTGTTAAGAGAGGTGATCTTGTAATTACTCAGTAGGACATTCTTCTACGCAGGCTTCTCCTTTAACCTCAGTATTGGTGGGGAGGAACACGCTCCACGATCGATTCCTATCTCCTTCTTCCTTCAACTATGCCCCCCCCCCCCCCAACTCTGCTGTTTCTGCTGCATGCTGAAAGGACCTGTGGTAAACTTGAATCCTCCTTGAGTAGCAGCTTTAATGACAATCTTTTCTTTATACAGTTCAGCACTTCACCTCACCTGTTCCAGCAAACAGTAATAGTCTAGAGGTCACTGAGTTCAACATCAATTCACACAAGAATACAAGGTTTAACACAAACATTTTCAGTGAAAACTCTTGACAGCAAGATTGACAGACAGCTGTGGGTTACTCTTAAAACAGTCAGTGGCAAACTTGGGCATCCATAGAGGTTTCTGAAAAAAAGGGGTTGCACTTAAACAGCACCACAAACAGAATTCCATTCATCTCTGCTGGATTGGGATTGAAGCAGAAATCTCTAAAACACCTCAAAACCAGCCTCCCCCAACTTAAGTTCACTGTGGCTATCTCGCTCATTTTGGTTCTTCCAGGTTTTATTTAACCTGCAGGGGTCCAACTCAGCTCAGTCATTAGGATGCGATCTGCCTCCGTTCGAAACACATGACTCAGCCATGACCACAGTCACCTCTGCTTTATTTTCAGTCGTGATGTTTTTGCCTTTGTTTTTTCTCCATAAGACCCACCTGTTTGCTTAGCAAATCTATTAAACTTGTCAGCCTTTACTTGTATGTTGTGGTAGGTGGTGGAGATTAAGATTTTCATAGGAATCACCTGTGTAATGGTATAGTTAAAGTTGTTCATGCATATATTACCTGTTTATAATCATGTAACTTTTTACATTACTAGAAGTCAGTCCTGCTTTTGGAAAAGTGGTAAAAGGTAGACTCTTTAGAAACTCGTTTTAAAAAGTCGTATTATAAAGTCTTATTATACTTTCCTCCTCACCACACCAGCACAACAGGTTACTTAAACGCCCAACTCACAAAAAAATGTGTGGGGTGAGGTGATCTTACAAACTTAATGCGTACCTTGCAGTCACACTTGTGAAATCATATTGCAGAAAAGTAGGAGAAACTAAAAAATGTGTAAGAGCCTCATTTCCTGAAGGCTCATTAGATAAGAAAGCTGTGTTGTTTCAGGCCAAAGGTCTACAGCTCAGGAGTGTGCACTTCTCTTCCCTGATCTATAGTTCATAGATGTTCTGTCAGTCCTGCTTCACTCTCTTGTTTGAGAAGCAGCTCATTGATGACTTGTGGGTTGTGTTTGCTTTGGGCAGACTCCACAGCACTGCAGTACTTAGTGACTGGATTAGTGCATCAATTAGGCAGCTTTTGGATGCATGGAGCCATGCTGATTGATTTAGATGTTGTGGGAGTGTGCAGGTTAATTGTATGGGGACAATATCAACACATCTGGGTGAAAGAAAAACTGACTGGGGGACATTGCTATTATCATCATTATTATTATTATTATTAGTATTATTATTAGTAGTAGTATTCTATTCCATCTTGTGCTAATTAATGCGGTCGAAGTTGCCGGCATGATCACTTAAGCATTACTGGACCAAAATAGTCACGTGACACATGCAGGTGGAAAATATAGGCCTACAGCTTACACTGACTTTAAATACAGTGTTTTCAACATACTTTACTTGTATGGTGTATTAGCACCTGCCACCAAGTATATTTTGAAACCCTCTAGCATTTTGCAGAGAAACATACACACAGAGAGATGTTATGTTATCTGATATTACATTAAGCGGACACAGCAGAAATTTAAAATTACAGAGCGACAGTGAACTCACCACTGCAGATGTCACTCACTAACGTTAGTTTCGGTTTCGACCCACATGCGGCGCACTTGAAAACAGAATCACGGGAGTTTATTAAACACGGCGACTTTATGAAACGTACTGCTGATGGAGTAAGTCAGTAGAGACACATACAGGGAGTTTTGTTGACTTCCAAAAAGCCTTTGATTCCATCTGGCACGAGGGCCTCTTCTATAGGCTACTTGAAAGTGGCATTGGAGGAAAAACATATGATTTGATTAAGAACATGTATACAAAAAGTGAATGTGCCATAAAAATTGGAAACAAACAAACAGCGTACTTCTCCCAGGGCCGGGGGAGTGAGGCAGGGATGCAACCTCAGTCCAATTCTCTTCAATCTATATATCAATGAATTAGCAAACCAATTAGTGCATTCCACGGCACCTGGCCTCATCCTGAACTACACAGAGATCAGAGGTCTGCTGTATGCAGAGGACTTAGCGATGCTTTCACCTACTAAAGAAGGTTTGCAGCAGCACCTTAATCTCCTGCAGAGATTCTGTCAGACCTGGGCCCTGACAGTAAACACAGCAAAGACTAAGATAATGATCTTTCAGAAACAATGCAGAAATCAGGTTACACACAATTTCTATTTAGACACCACTAAATTACAACACACAAAAAACTACACTTACCTTGGCCTCAACATTACATACACAGGGAACTTCAACATGGCCATGAAAGATCTGAGGGACAAAGCAAGGAGAGCTTTTATGCAATAAAAAGAAACATTAAAATATATATTCCAATTGAAATCTGGCTTAAAATTTTCCAATTTGTACTAGAACCAATAATTCTATATGGTAGCGAAATCTGGGGGCCAAATATATTGAATACTGGAAAGAAACGACCAAAACACAAAGTAAATTACAATGTTATCTGACCCTAAAAAGAGAATTCAAACTGGCAAATTACCTGAGCACAATAAAATGTCCCAAACTAAGAAAAATGTTGTCAACATACAGACTGAGTGAACACAGCCTGGCCATAGAAAGGGTCGCCACAGACTCCCAGTGTGACAGGGGAAAGGTAGAGACAGAGCTGCACTTTCTAACCTCATGCCCCAAATATAAAACACTAAGACAAAAACACTTTGCAAACATTTCCCAAATATACCCCGAATTCGAATTCATATCAGACACACAGAAACTCCCCTATTTACTGGGAGAAATGCCCGAATGTGAAATAATTGCTGCAAAATATGTCTCCTCATGCCATGAAGTGAGGACAACCCCAGGACAACTAGTGTAAACTCAGACTGATAAATAATTGTACAAATTTTCAAATTATTATTATTTTGATCATTTGATATTTTAGTAATTGTTTTGTTTTTACATTTGATAATGATAATGATGATAATAATGATTTGATTTCTTTTCTTTTTTATTATTTTTTAATCAATTAATTATTTAAAAAAAATTGTTTATTAATACACACACACACATGTGCTACTGTTTTATTTATTTATTTTATTTTTATATATTTTTATTTTTTTAACACACTCAGAAACACACACGCTTACTGTTTTATTTATTTCTATTATATTTAATATATTTTAATTTTTTTAACACACACACACACACATGCTTACTATTTTTTTATTTTCTTTTAATTTTTAATATTTCATTATTTTTTTTTAAACACAAACACACATACGCTTTGATTGCTTTACGCTTTAATTACTTGTTTAATGAAATGTATGGGGTTGATTGTTCTTATGTTGTATGTAT